GAGAAGTCTGGCCATTGTCTCTTCTGAGGAGCATTCCAGCTGCACTTCTTCCAGGACATTTTGTCCGTTCCTCAGGAAGTCCATGGTATTTTCAGTACTCTTCACCAGCACCACAATTCAAAGGCATCGACTCTTCTTTGGTCTTCCTTATTTGTTGTCCAGCTATCACATGCATATGAGGCAATTGAAAATTACCATGACTTGGATCAGGCACACTTTAGTCTTCAAAGTGACATCTTTGCTCCATAACACATTAAGGAGGGCTTTTGCAGATTTTCCCAGTGCAACATGATGTGTGGTTTCTTGACTGCTGCTTCCGTGGGTGTTGATTGTGAACGTAAGTAAAATGAAATTCCTGACAATTTCCATTTTTTCTTCATTTATCATGAGGTTGCTTATTGGTCTTGTTTTGGTTACCTCTAGTGCCACTCTAATAGAAATGCCACAAGTGGATGGCTTTAACAAATAACAGTTTATTCTCTTACCGTTTAGGAGGCTAGAAGTCCAAGGTCGAAGTGGCAGCTCTAGGGGCTGGGCAGAAGCTCCTCAACCTTGGGCTTCAGCTCGGCCTCTTGCTCCTGGCCCACTGAAGGTGAAGCTTCTCTTAACTCAAGTAGCTGCTGGCTGCTGAGGCTGACAAACCCAAGGCTGATAAATAAGATGGCACAGTAACAAGATTACCCACCAATCTATCAGGCCACTAGTTCAAGTCCAGAGACAGCCCCAACATTGGCAGGAAACACGGCAGGCTGCTGAACGAAGACTCTGGGGTCATGCAGGGTCCAAGTCTGCCAAAAATCTCCAAGACCTTTCTCAATGCTTCTCCTTATAGACTGGAAGCAAACCACATCCCAAAGGCAGCTATTCAGCTGCTCCAGTAGATCCCACCATGGAGCTGATTACCAATCTCATCATGGGAAACAACTACACTCAGCTCCCTGGCCACTCAAAACCAGACCCAGCCAAGTTCGTACACAACCTTAACTACCACCAGTCCAGGTGTGAGGATTTTTGGGTTTCTTTATGTTGAAGTGCAATCCATACTGAGGATAGTAGTCTTTAATCTTCATCAGTAAGTGCTTCAAGTCATCTTCACTTTTAGCAAGCAAAGTTGTGTCATCTGCATACCACAGGTTGCTCATGAGTCTTCCTCCAATCATGATGCTGCATTTTTCTTCGTATAGTCCACCTTCTCAGATTATTTTCTCAGCATACAGATTGAATAAGCATGGTGAAAGGATACAACCCTGATGGACACCCTTCCTGATTTCAAACAATGCACTATTCCTTTGTTCTATTCAAATGACAGCCTCTTGCTCTATGTATAAGTTCTTCATGAACACAATTAAGTGTTCTGGAATTCCTATTCTTTGCAATGTTATCCATAATCTGTCATGATCCACACAGTCAAATGCCTTCATATAGTCAGTAACATAAAGGTAAACGTCTTTCTGGTATTCTTTGCCTTCAGCCAAGACCCATCTGACATCAGCAAAAATATCCCTCATTCCACACCCTCTTCCAAATCCAGCTTGAATTTCTGGAATTTTCCTGTCAATATACTGCTACAACCATTTTTGAATTATCGTCAGCAAAAATTTTACTTGCATGTGATTTTAATGATATTGTTCAATAAGTTCCACATTCTGCTGGATCACTTTTCTTTGTAATGAACACAAATATTGATCTCTTCCACTCAGTTGGACAAATAGCTCTCTTCCAAATTTCTTGGCATAAACAAGTAAGCAGCTCCAGTGTGTATCCATTTGTGTAAACACCTCAATGGTTATTCTCTCTATTTCTGGAGGCTTGTTTCTGACCAATATCATCAGCGCAACTTGGACTTCTTCTTCAATACCATTGGTTCTTGATCATATACTACCTCCTGAAATAGTTGAACATCGACAAATTTTTTTTTTTTGGTACAATGTATTCCTTCCATCTTCTTCTAATGCTTCCTGCAGAAGATCCATCAAAGACACAAAACAGAATCTGATTGTCAGAGAAAGAGCAGAATCATAGAAATTCCCACTTCTAAGACCCTAAGACCCATGTCAGTTGCCATCAAGTTGGCTCTGGGTCATGACAATCTTACATGTAACTGATCAAAACTTTGCCTGAGCCTGTGTCTTCTTCATGACTGTTGATACGTTTGAGTCCATAGTTGTGGCTAGCACGTCAATTCATATCACTGAAGGTTTGCTTTGCTGAACCTCTTCTTTTCTAAATGTTTGGTCTTTCCTGATGACATGTCCAAAATAAACAAGATAAAGTCTCATCATCCTTGCTCCTAAGGAGCATGCTGGACGTATTTTTTCTGAGAGAGATTTGTTCATTCTTCTGGCATTCCATGGTACATTTAATATTCTTCACCAGCACCATAATTCAAATGCATTGCAAACCCTTCTTCTGTCTTCCTTTTTCCTTTTTCAGTTTTGCACACATGTGACATGATTAAAAAGTGGGTCAAACACACAAGGCCCAATTAAGACCCAAAACACATAGAACCTTTCCTGCTCCCCTACCACCACCAGGCTAGCTCTAAAGGGTGGGGCAAGAGGATGGAGAGAGAACTTCTCTTTGGAGCAGGCATATAGGGAAGGCTGAAGGTTGAGGATGGAATAAAGACATTGAAAGAAAACTTTCAGCATCCCAACATCTTCAAGATAACCCTCTGTCAGGGGTAATCCAAGAAGAATTTTAATCTGGTGGTGCAAAGATGGAAACCATAGCAACAAAATCCAAACCTCTCTCAACTCCTGGCTATATTGCCTCATGTCTTCTACCACACACACACACACACACACACACACACGGCAAAAATAGATGGTATGCCCTTTCCAGGCACAAATACTGGGGTTCAATATTCCACAGAGAATAAGAGGTCGGCATTTAACCTCAGAGGATAAGAGATAGCATGAGGTTCAGTGACCCCACTATCCATCTTGGCTACCTCAACTTGGTCCCAATACAGAATAACACTAAGACTCCAGTGCTTTGTTTTGCTTTGCAGACTTTTTATTGTGATTTGGGTGAAAATTTACAGAACAAATTGGTTTTCCATTCAACAATCCATACACGTTCTGTTTTTGTGACATTTACTGCAATCCTCATACTCTAACATCATTCTTCCCACTTCTTCCCTGTGCCCACCCCTTCTGTTTGTCCTTCCTTCCCATCCCCTCCCACCTTCCTAGCTCTATCTCTGGGCAAATTATATGCTCTTGATGTCATATGTTTGATTGTTCTAATGAACACATTCCCCAGGACCTCCTCTTGTGATCCCTTTCAGAGTGGTCACCCCAATAGTGAACTAGGTTCAAAGGCTTTTAAATACATGAGACAGCCTTATGATATCTTCATCATCTTCCTTGCCATCATGTCTTCCAGTTGTGTAGCTCTTAATAGGTCACTAAGGTCTTTATTAAAATTATTAATAATATTGATTATACTATTATCATTAAAATACTGATAATCTCATCATTACTAAGAACATCAATAATGACAAGGATAGCCATATGTTTCAGAGTAGAACTGTGCTCCACAGAGTTGTCAAGTGCTGATTTTCCAGAAGTCAATTTCAAGGTCTTTCTTTCACTAACAATTATTAAGCACCTGACTGGGGCCACATCCTGTGTATCTCACATCACCCCTCATGAGATATCACTACTTTTGTTTTCTCTGTTTCCCAGTTGAAGAGACTGAGGCTCAGGAGGTTAAATGACCTGCCCAGTTCTCACAGGCAGCAAGTGCTGGAGGTGGAATCTGCACAAACACACCCACCTGACTCCTTCATGTGCAGGGTCATGTACGTCGATCTTCACAGTAACTCAGTGATGGGAATCCCTTATGTATTATGCTATTATAAAGATGGAAAGTGGAGACTTAGTCATACAGTAAATCCCTCTTTTCAAAATTTCACATTTCCCAAATTTCAGCAATAAGAGGCTGGATTGGAACTGAAATCCACATGTTCTTATCCCAAATACCAGCCAGGCCACTGCACCCTTCACTGTCAGCACTGGCACCTGTGTTAACATGGATTCGTCAGGGGTAGAATTCAACTTCCATGCCGTGACACGGTTTGATTCCGGGTCAACGCACCTCATAGGCAGCCACCACCCGACTGTCAGTGGAGGCTGATGTGTGGCTGCCAGGACGCTGACCAGGTTTCAATGGAGCTTCCAGGCAAGGAAGAAGGGCCTGGAGATCGACTTCTGAAACTCAGGCAGTGCAAACCCTACAAATCACAACACTCTGATCAGCAACCGGCTGTGGGGAGGACACAGGCCAGGGCAGCACATTGTAGAGTGGTGCATGGGGACACCAGGAGGTGGGACCACCTTGACAGCAGCTAACAACAGCAACACTGACTGCCAACCAGACAGTGAGTCCGGGGGCTTCTGGTTTTAACCTTGGGAATCTAACCATAAAGAGTAGCAGGATATTAAAAGTTTTCATAGTAACAATGCAAGAGATAATGATTCCACACTGTCTTTTACAGGAGGAAAAACCCCTCCCCAAGGACACCAGGAACCAACATATTAAAGGTAAAGTCATGTCACAAAAAGTGGAACTAGAAAGTTAAGAATATCTACTTTGCTTCCAATACCTTCTTGCAGTTTTGTTGGTGATCGCAGATTTTCTTAAATGAGGTGATGTAGTGAATTACCCTTCAAGAAATAACTACCTAATTTTGCCTTTGTACAACCTTCCCTTATTGATGAAGAAATTGATTGTGAAAACCCATGCTCAGTGCTCTGTCATTTCAGAAAGGAATTGTTTCATGGAAGCATACGGATTGCATTAAACATATAACAGTGTTATTGCTCTAAGCATACCCCAAGAAAAATCACAAGATAGAAATCTAATTTAAAAACATTGATTAATTAATATGAAAACAGACTGTAAAGCTCTAGGCAAAGCAACCTAATTTGGAGATAAAAATACAGGTAGGAGCCTGAAGGGAAACAATCAATTCAGGAGTGCTAGAGGCACCCATGGTGGGCGCCAAAGGAATTGAGCGGGAAGGTATCCTTTATAACCTCTCTCACCATTATCCCCACTGCCTCCGTCTCTTCTTGCACTGTCCCAATGGGACAAAATGGCAATCCCATGATTTACATTCCCCAGTAACTGAAACATATTGGGTTCACCCCTCATGTGGCTAGTGCTGAACCAGCCAATGCCTCCCCAGCACATTTGCTTCAATGAGGAAGTGTCAACACTCAGGGTCCTGACAACACACAGGTGGAACCCCCATATTAGGATACTTCAAGGGAGTTTATTTGCAAAGGAACCATTTACCAAGGTGTATGTGGTATAAGGGAGCTCTGGTGGCATAGTGCCTAAGGCATTTGACTGCTAACCAGAATGCTGGTCTTTCAAACCCACCAGCCACTCCTCAGAAGCAGGGTTGGGCAATCTACTTCCCTAGTGATACCGCCTCCAAAACCCAAGGAGGGCTTGCTGTGAGTTGAATGGACTCAACAGTGGTGAGTTTGGTTTTTGGTTTTTATGGGGTACAAGGGAAGAATATGAGATAGGGCAGGGACCTGGCTAACAGCAGTGGTGCTATCACCACCCCAGACCCCAAAGGATTAGGGGACAGTCATCAAAAACGAGGAATGAATCGTATGGAGCACACTGTCTTGAGAGTAGCCATGATCACTGACCAAGCAACGCTACTAGACCAGTAGGCCTCACAAGGAGGAAGCCAGGGAGATAAATACCCGATGACCCTCTGCTCCTGCCTTCTCCTTCCTGCCCTGACCTCCTGCTGAGGTTTCCTGGTGGGAAACCCAACCAGAGTCCAGAGGGCAGGTCCGCCTCTCAGAGGGGAGGATGGGTAGACAAGATGGAGAACGTGGAGGGTGCACCTGGATGGGCAAACAGAAGACACCCACAATGGGAAGCAAGGCAGAGAGTGAGACGAAGGTAGACCAAAACCCAGACTCAGCCCTGTCATGACTGCGTGAGCTTAAGTAAGACACCTAACCTTTCTGAGTCCTCATCTTTAAACTCTGATGTCAGCAAGGCCAGTCTGCCTATTCTCTTCAGTCATGTGGCCTGAGAAGAGGCCCGAGGACCCTGTAATGGTGGAATCAGTGCATTCCCTGGTCCATCGCTTATCTCCGTGCTGCGTATTCGCACAGATCACCGCCTCCTGCCTTCTATCCCATGCTCTAGCCCCCAGAAACCAGGGGGCTTCCACACCAACGCCTCATTCCTCCCTACCAATGGCTCTGATGTACACAGCACTAGATTCAGAACTCTCTCCATTAACTCACCTCTTTTAGTCCTTGGAGACACCAGGTGAATTGTGTAAATGAAGTGCTTTCTACTCCACCTGACAGAGAGACGAAAGATGCAGACAGGTCCTGGGCCAGACTGCAGTCATTTGCTAAATCAATGCCCTAGGCCGTAATAGTCCACTTCATAGGTGTCCATTGAGAAATGAGCTCTGGGGAGAGACGACACCAGAAGTGCACTTCATAGGCGCTCTGTCGTCATAGTTCACTGTGGGTATCCATACATTTCCTGGCCACAGGTGCTTCTTTGGCTGTGATTTTACATATCACTGCATTTATTTATCTATCCACGCATGTATGTATCCATAGCTATGCTCTGTCTCACTTTGCAAAGATATTGACGTGGTTAATAACAACTTGCAGAGAAAAATACAAATCCCAAAGAAAATTTAAACAGATGATACAATTACAATGAAGATGAAACTCAAGATCCTAGGGCACACATAGCTAAATTCTATTAACATTGCTTCTGAGCTTCCTGGTAGTCGAAGCAAAAAGGGTATTGTGCTCCTTTGTGTGATATAATTGCCCATAGTGAAAAAAAGTAAACCAAATCTTCAGGGAGAGCAACTTTTCTTACACAAGAAAATATTTTTCAGGGCTAAGTTCCTGCTATTTTATAGGGGACATGAGCTGTTATAATGGATACCATGGCTACATCAATATGGCTGTTCTTTGAAGCAGACCTTGGTGTGAACTGAGGATATTTGTCCAGAGAGGCCCTCGGTGAAAGTAAGGCTCACCAAGGTTGAGGCTTGTAAGGGAGTTGGGGGAGGCTGCCTGGAAAAGGTTGTTAATAAGAATGGTTTCCTCTGATGGGTCATGGCTCCCCGCCCTCCTCACCACCAGAACACTAAGGTGATAGACAAAAAGGAAGTGGGAAGGAGGGAATTAACATGCATACACCCCGGTTTTAGGACCATGCATCTTGCTGGAAAATGCTTGGATGATTTATGTGTTTATTACAAAATTCTGTATTTCTGATGCAAACATATTCTCAGATAATTTATTCATTCTCACAAAATGTCATAGGAAAAAAAAATATTAGTTGGTTCAGTAATGGCAGAATTTTACAGTGATATTTTTCATCAAGTTGAGCGGTTGTAGATTTATGCTAATGTACATTTCGAGTCGTTTTTCTCGCAATCATGTCTGACATTATCTGGAAACTGTCAGACTTCAAGAACTGATGTTTCCTAAAGCTCAACTTCATTCCTAAAAATGGGTAAAAGTTTCTTTGAGGGCAAAGTATTTACGTGGTATAAGTTATTAGTGGCAAGCCTTACCACTGACCACAGATCCAGAAGAAATCAACTCGTTTTCAGTTGGGGATAATTATAATAGTCAAATATGGTGTGGCTGAAACAAAGACTGTTAACGAAGGAAGCCAGAAAGCATTTCTTTTTGCCCTTGGTGTGAACCAAGTACAAACTGGAAACTAATGTCTTCTGAGGTGGCAAGCATACAGTCTAGGAGAATGCATTTATAAGGAAACAGGACAGGCCGTTTATTCAAAGAATGAAAAGGGGGATTAAGCATGGGTGACTTAACATGTATGTACATCCAGAAACACGAGCTTGGATGACAAAAGCCAAATCGAATTCCACAAAATGTCATCAAAAGACCTTTATCCTATTTTTCTTTTAGACAAATGCATGTGCACAGAGAAACTAGAATCAGATATGAGTTAATCTGACCCAAAACCCTCATATTACATAAAACCTAAAAAAAAAAAAAACACTGCCACCAAGTTGATTCCAACTCATAGCGACCCTATAGGACAGAGTAGAACTGTCCCATATGGTTTCCAAAGCTATAAATATTTATGGAAGCAGACTGTTTCATCGCTCTCCCAGAGTGGCTGGTGGTAGTGAGTTCGAACCACCAACCTTTTGGTCAGCAGCTGATTGCTTTTACCACTAAGTTACCAGAGCTCCACCATATTACACACCAAACCAAACTCACTGTCGTGGAGTCGATTCCAACTCATAGCGACCCTCATTGGGTTTCCGAGGCTGTAAATCTTTACGGAAGTAGATCTCCCCAACTTCCTTCCATGGAAAGCTCACGGGTTTGAACCACTGACCTTCCAGTTAGCAGCCTTACCCACGTCGGCACTAGAGTTCTTTGCACAAGGAGGTCTAAAGTCATCCACAGAGTTAGGTAGAGACAAGACTAGAACCCAGGAATTTTTCCACTGTGGCAGTGTGTTTCCAGGATTTTACTGTATTTGGTTTGTTGCTGTTGTTGTTGTTGTTGTTATTTGCCATCGAATCAGACCCGACTCATAGCGACCCCTCCTTGGGTTTCCAAGGCAGTATCACTACGGAAGTAGATTGCCCCATCTCCCTTCCAAGGAGTGGCTGGTGGGTTTGAACCGCCAGCCTTCTGGTTAGCAGTCAGGTGCCTTAGGCACTATGTTACCAGAGCTCCTACTGTATTTGGTAGTGTATAAAATTCATCCCACAACCTCTCCCGCGTGTTCTCTAGCCAACATCCTGCTCACCCAGACTACAAGGTTTAGTGCCAAAATGTGAATTGATGGATGATACTGCCCTCTCGTGGCAGAATGTGGCAACGCAAAACATCACAATCAGGATAGAACTGGATGTCCTAGAGGTTATGGCACTTGACTGCTAACCAAAAGGCTGGCGGTTCAAACCCACCAGCCACTCCTCGGAAGGAAGATGGGGCAATCTACTTCCGCAGATACTGCCTCAGAAACCCAAGGAGGGGTTGCTATGAGTCAGGTCTGACTCAACGGCACACAACAACAACAACAGAGTTTATATATTCTTTACAAAAATAACCAGCCTGAGGCCCCAGAGTTGATCAGAAATAAATTTAGGATTATTCCCCTGCCATTTTAGATTTAAATTTATTTCAGACATGAGCCATGATTCAACAGCAACAGAGGTATAGATAAATATTTAGCTCAAAGTTAATGTCTAAACTTTGCAGAAAAACTCTCTAGTGGGAATACAGAGAAGTGGGTTGTTTTTTGTTTGTTTGTTTGTTTTTTCACCACCACACAGAGAAAAATATACAATCCAGAGACCAGAGAAAAAGAAGAGTGTGTCTTACAAATGCTTAATGTAGTCAATGGAGTTTTCAATAAATAAGTATGGAACAGTCATCAATAAGAATTAAAACAAGATGTTTGATAAGAGAAGCTCAATAAATCCCCCAATTATTAATTCTGACTCCAGCTTCAGTTTCCCACTAAGATTCCAATAGGCAAGGACTGCATCTACGCAGACACAGTCCGGTCCCCTGCATGATACCATTTCAAAATCACCTTTCATGTGCCTTGCGGAAAGCATTCCTCTTTTCTCTTTGCCAAGCTGGGAAGTGACTGGGATGGCCAGCAACCCCAGTCCTCCTAGGACTGGGGGCTTTCCCAAGATGCAGGACATTCAGTGCTAAAACCAGGAAAGTGCCAGGCAAACCTGGACAAGGTGGTTATACTTGCAATGGCTTCTACATCCCCATGTCTCACATGCCAGCAGAATGGAAGGGCTCTTCTGTTTGTTTAATCAAGAGTTTTATAACAAGATGCGGGCTCGTGCAGCCCTCCCTAGTGACTGAGGCCCAGCACCCCGCCCAGATACCTGAGCACACCCCAGGGTTCTCCACCTCCCTGGTGGCCTGCCCCACTTTTCAAAAGCCCCACCGCGTTTTAGCTACTTCTGAATACCAACACATTTCACATTTAAATGC